TGGACCAAAAACCATATCTCAGGAAGTACTCAACCGATTTCAATGAAATTCGGTACATAATATTTTCTAAACACCGTGATGACATGTACCAAATATGGGTGAAATCGGTTTATAACCACGCCTGAAATCTCGATTATCACTTTATCATGCGAGAGTATAAAATGTTCGGTGACACCCGAACTTAGCCCTTCCTTACTTGTTTTTAATAAAGGTGATAACGAAAGTTTTATTATATATTCCTCATAACCGGGAGGCTCGGAGCCCCGGTTTTCTCTCTACGGCTCTTTGAATACGTTAAATATTATTATAATTACCTATACATATACTTACATTTGTATTTAGTAGAATAGTCTGGCAAGATAAAAGACCATGAAAATAATAAAGAAAGAAAGAACAAATAGGCCACGCGTGGTCCTTAATACATGAAAATATTATATCTAAATAAAAACGAATCCAGTATAAAAATCCAAAAGCTTGAACTAGAAGTGTTACCGGTTCCATATAGTACGTCCAAGCAAAAATACCGCTTCTTCATTAACAGCTACCAATACATGTAATCTATAGTAGATATAGAAGATTCAATCATGCGTTGCTATTGCTATGATATACATAATATTGAGTATTGTAAATATACTTATTATTTATTGATTACCCAAATCCATTCGAATTTCCTAACATCACGTAAGCAAAGGTTTTATTGACAATTAAAGGCTTAAATAATGTTTGTTGCAGAATCATAAGCTATTTTCCTTTAAACGAGAAATCATTTTTTTTTTTTTTACAACTGTCATGAAGGAACGTTACCACAAACTCTCTATTCCTTTTTAATCAGTTATCAAGAATGCATTTTAAACGATTTTAACTTAGGTCTGAAACTCTGAGCTCTCCTGCACACATTTGTGTGCTGAGGATAAAATACTAATGACTGAAAAGCAGCAAAACGCTTCAAAAAAATTAAGTTTGCTGAAAAAGTTTATTTCTAGGAGTAGTAGATTGTATTGTCTCTTTATTTTTGAAACACTTCCCACGTCTTTTAATTTTATTTTAATGTTTCAAAATTGTAGCTTCTCTCGCTCAGTTTCGGAATTTTACTTACGAGCTTAACAAATTGGTTACCTTCCTATGTGTTTGTATATAATAAATGATGAAAATAGTTTGAAATTATAAATAAAAATGTTATTTTTACCTATTTTCTATTAATATTTTTCTTAAATAAATTCATTAATTTTAACTTTCAACTTCTAGTCCACAGCAGTGATACAGGTGGTGCGAAAACTACTGTCAAGGTTTTGCGACGGCTGCGCAAAATGTCAAAAGACTGTGCACCACTTACTTGCCATTGGCCTTGATAGAATTAATATTCTGATCATCATCTAGGCTCGATGCGAGTAAGCTTCCTCATGCACTGAGCGCCATTCACAGTGGAGCCATAAACACCTTCACCGACGTACTTGGAGTTAAACCACTACTCATTGCAAACGAAGAGATCGAGTTGCCGCGCGATTCGAGAGTGACCTTTGCTTCGCTCTGGTTCCTATAGCAGGTTAAACTCCTTCTTATCCAGAAACGAACCCTACATATCAAATGTATGTCCAACGGCAACAAGTTCCTGCATGGCACTAACCAGCTCTTGGCATGCCCAGCTAACCCTCCACATACGACACTCTTCGAAACAGCACGTTTTCGGGCTTACGTTATAACCGTTACAAAAACAACACAAAGTTGAAAAACGAATATCAAAAACCAAATTTTTTTACGGGTTGAGTTGAAAATCATACTACCGAATTTCAAACCTTCGACCAAAATGAAGTTGTGTTGAAAACCGTAATAGGGGCTTAAATAGGTATTAAGCAATTTTCATTATTTCCATATCAGAGATATCAGAGGCAGGTTGTGTCCTTATTGATATATTCCAGTCGTCCCACATATTATACATATATTCCTCGTATGATGCAGCATAAATTGGCGATTGAAATTACTCGCACAATTCTTCGGATCCGAATAATGGGTATATTACAAAGAACTTGCAAGAAGTTTAAATATTCTATAACTTAACGTTTGCTTATGGTGGTTGTCGAACGTAGGTGCTGTATTGAGCGTTTGATGCTATGGCGTGTGGTTTACTCCCTATGGAGATTTGAATAGTTCTTTGAACGAATTTGCTTTCATATCTAACTACAAGTTATAATGCTGCAGAATGCTATTATTATGAATTAAATAAGTAATTATTAATCAACAAAATTCACATCGTTACTCTTGATTAATTTTCCTTTTATTTAGAGATATGCTTTAATTTTTCACTTCATTTATTTATTTATTTGTATCTTTGCTTTGAAAAATTTCACAGTTCACAACCTTACAAATTGAAAAATAATGAATGATATAGGACCAATAGCAAGTGGGAACAAAATTAATTATTGTGCCATTATATGCAAACATTATTAAAAATTGCTTTTAGGAGTTTTTCATTTGGTTGCAAATTAATTGAGTGATGTGCGAGTCTCATCCTTATAAGCACTTGATTGCTTACAGAACTTTAAATCCAGAATGTGATATTTTATAAGGAGTTTAATTCAAATAATATATATATACGTTTTTCATATGCTTGAAATAAGTTTAATAAGAGTGGATATGCAAATTATAAGAACTTAATAAAAGAAATTTAATTTACTTTCGAATACATTCTGACAATAGTAGAGTAATTGCAAAGGTAAAATTGACCTTTCAATGTTTTCCAGCCGATTAATACAGCTATAGGGACACAATAGATATGAAGAAGTACAATATATTATAACATTTTATACAATTTGGCACATTTTACGCTCTAAATTTATTATTATTCCTTTTCCATATTTTTAATATGCTTGCAATCATAATCTACTATTTTAATAAAATGTTGAATAAACATTACTAATTCAGCACATTTGTTTTTTGATCAAACATTTAAGTAATTTCTACAATTCTATACTTTAATTCATATACTCGTTCATCGTATTGTTGACAATGTTCTCTTTAATAATTTTACAGCATGATTTTGCACTTTTTACTACAAATTACTTTCGTGATTTGATATAATTATTATAAATTAAAATCACTTGAAATCAACATTTTTTGTATTAACTTCTAATGCTATGCCTACGTGAGTATTATATTTACTTTTATTTTCATACGATCTTCTTACAATAATTTTGAGCTTTTTTTCATGATGTTCACTCATAACTAGAATTTTTGTATTTGTATTTTAAAACAGTATGTATTACAATCAATACTTGCTTAGATACTTAAAAATTGTCATAGAGCTAGTTAGAGGTTTCAATTTGTTTTAAAACGGTGATGTGCAACTTTTCAACAGAATTCTGAAATATTATTCAATTTGTTTGTTACTAATAATTCTTGAAAAAAATAATTGCATAAAGATTGAATCGATTGTGATGAAAAGTCTTACAAATAATGACGAGAATGCTCATTGATAAATATTCCTACCCCCGTATAACAGTTTTAAATAAAAAAAAATATATATAACATTTAAAGATCCAAATGACACAACATTAAAATTTAAGCTTTTAAGTTACTGAGCAGACCAAACGTTCCTTCGAACGCCTAAAAAAAATTGCAAAGATTTGATTTTTTACGTATAATTTTTAAATTTATTGCTATTGGGACTTCTCAGATTCTCATTTTTTCATCTTTGTTTATTTAGTGTGTTCAATTAAAAGCTATTTATTTGGCAATAAATGGATTTGATTTAACTTTTAATGCAATCATATACAGACATATGTATATGTAACATTATGCAACATAATTCTTGCGATTATATATATATTATATTTCAATTACTATTTAAATTTAGAACAAATTTGTGAATTGAAATGAGAATTTTTCGGATGCATTGCATTCGCTGATAATGTGAATTTGAAAATTCATTATTCAATTTTAAAACATTTAAAAATAAATACTAAAGTAATCACACTACAAACTAATCAAATAGAAGGTTTAACTAAAATATTAGACTTTGGCTTCATGTAAAATAATTTATAAAAATAAAATAAAAAATTCATAGTAAAAATAATTTCAATGATATTTTTACGTTTATGGATCTTAGTTTTTTTTTAACTTGGCGTTACTTAATAAACGTTGTTGCGAACTGGTTTATCTAGATATTTGTTCAGATGACATATGTGTGTAAATAGTGTTACATGTGTATCGCCATTCATAATAATCAATAAAAATCACTTAATACTAGTAATTTGCGCGAATTTTTGCGTGATTCATAAATACTTTTAGATACTTCTAAATTTTATTTTTGGTCATTTAAATTGTTCAACTCTTAAAATATACTTGTACAAATTTCTTACTCATATAATATATTGATGCATGTATTCTTTCACTTTATAATTAAAAAAAATTGCAGAGAAGTTTTGTATGCGTAAATTTTAATCCTACTTGTGCTTTTAATCTGTTTGTTTTTTCGTGTCAATCTGACCTTTTAAAACCATTTTGTGTCCCAAAAACTTCAGATTTACAGCCTGATATGATGACTGCACAATGTAAAAAAAAAAAAAAAAAAAAAAAAAAAAAAAAAAAAAAAAAAATTAATAAATAAAAAATTTTATACAACAGATTATATACTCACATAAACGCTACTTTGACATGTTAATATCCCAAGTCAAATCTAAGGGATACAATAGAGTATACTATATGTTATTTATATATTTTGTATGAAAATAATTTGAGCAAATTTGATTCACTTTGAGTGTCCTTTAGCGATGTATCGGAAGAGTTCGGATATTTATTTAAATGGTGCGAAAGCAAGCACAAACAAACTTATTAAAATACATACAATGCATACAATAATTTGGTTCGATTTTTTCAGAACCCTATTTTATAAACAAAAAATATAATTGATCTCTCAAAATTTGTGATATCATAGCTGCATTCGTGAACATTTAAATAACATTATATCAATTTTTACTTAAGTCGTTATTTCTTGAGCAAATACTTTTTTAACAACTCCATCATGGGCGATTTTTAAATTGTTTCAGGAAGGTATTTGATTGCATATCGGAGTACATATTTTGAGTACAGTTGTTTGGAAAACTAAATTATAATGGAAGTGATTTTCGGATATTCACTTCTTTGTATTTTTATCACAAGTAAATACAACACGTTTTTGCAATGATATTCAAGACTTTGAATATATGTATATTTAAGAGAGAAAGTTTTAATTTATTTAATAATATTCAAATTATCTCTTTTCTAATGTTTGGATATGTTTAAGTGTCGATTATTTTATACCATTAAATTTGCTTCTTGAGCAATTCAAAGAGATATTTGAATAAAGCAATTACTGGGAAATAAGCTGCCAATGTGAATGAGTAAGCGATGAAGTAAAGTTATTTAATGACAATGTGTCAAACTTCGATTTATATGAAGTACAATCGGGTTAAACAAATTTTCATCATTGTCTTTAAATATATTATAATTAGTTTTAAAATGTTGCTTTTATGAATTTAGATGGTGTAGTATAAGTAAATTTAGAAATAACTTCAAATTTTATAAATATACATTTGATATTTATCGCATGTGTACTATATGTACAAACTAATGAATACCTATGCTGCATAATTGCAAACATTTCTAATTATAATTTGAATACACTAAAGCAATGCATGCTTTTATGCACAAATTAAGGAGTGACTTTGATTATATATATAAATATTTTCTATGATGTCCATAATTCACCAACTAATCAAATAAATGATAATCGGCTAAACAATTTCACCAATACCGGATATTCAGTTTTTTTTTTTTTTTTTGTTTTGCTTTTCGATATTACTTTGTATTAATGTTTTGGCTTATGTTTTCTCACTTACCAGAATTTGTATGTATGTACGTATTTATCATATTTTTAAATATTGGTTGGACGACATTCAATTTAACAACTACGCTTTTCTTCTATTAAATTTTTAAATTGTTGGTATTTTTTGGCTCAATACCTTTATCTTATATGCATGTATATGTGCTAATCTTCAACTCTTTTTTCTATTATATTTGCTTTGTTATACACTGAATATTTGATTTAATCTCATTGTTTTTACGCATTGCATGAGTATTTTGGGTTGCTAATTAAAAATTGTAATATTTCTTGAGCATTTTGACGACTTCAATTCTTCTTAATGTAACATAAAACCTTTTTTCTTATATAATAATCTTTAATTTTGTTCCACATGATGTGCAAAATTGTGTGACCGAATTTGCAAAAGTTGAGTATAGCTGCGTTGACTTGCAGTCAGCAGCCAGTGGTACATTGCATTGTTCATTTCTCTCACTAGTAAGGTGCGAATCGATTGAATCCACCACGATACATAGTTGCCTATAATTGGAACAAAATATTTAAATGCATTTGATTATCATAAAAGAATATATTGTGCAATAGTTTAAAAAATATGTGAGAAAAACTTACACCATAGCCGGGCACTGGTCCGATTCCATGTCCTAAATAGGGGTCTGCATACTCTCTTGTTGCATATCTGGGTTTTGCAGAATATAAAAGAAGCGACGTAAAGTTTACAAAAATGAATTACGAAAATTAAGGAAACAATATCTCGATGAGGTGTTAATAATAGGGAAGTTGATTGTTGAATTAAAATTTTAATGATTTCATGAACTGAACTTGAATTCTTTTTCCTTGCTTGTTATCTTAAGATGATTATTAGTAAAAATTATTCAGTTTTGTGAGAATTTTGCACGCATTAATTAACGTAAATTCTAAATTATTCGATATTTCGGTTTTTCTTCTTTTCACTTTGCTATAAATATAAAAATGAAGGAATGAGTGATTTTAGTCCGTTGACTAAGTTTCCGGGTTAACTAATATTCTTTAAAAATGTATCACAACAAGAAATTGTGAAAGTAGGTGTTACCTTAATAATTCATAAAGAGTTTATAGAGCAACGACTTTTTTTTTAAGAGTAAATTTGGAAAAATTATTCACTTACAAACATCTCATGTATAAATGAAACGCCTTATTTGTATGTGCGCGCATTACGTCCGAACCACAGCACGGAAAGACGTGAAAATTGGCACGGGTACTCCTTTAGTCCTGGAGAAGGTCCTAACGGCGACCTATTTGCAAAATCATTTTCGATTTCGCAATTTATGTATATATTTATAACTCAAGAATGGCTGAACCGATTTGGCTGAAAATTGGTGATGAGGTAGCTCGGAATCTCCGGAAGGGAATAGGCTACTTTCTATCGTTTTATGTTAAAAGCCAAAAAATTATAGTGATAGATAGTGAATTTTAAATAGATTTTATAATTTACAGTTTTTTTTTTTTTTTTGTTAAAAATGTAATTTAAATATAAATTATAAAATCTATTTATATATACAAGGGTGACCGCTTGTCCAACGGGACGGACGCCTGTTTTGTGTACATATGCGAACTAGTTCCTATGTTTAAGAGATATTGAAGTTTTGCACACGTTCTTTTCTCCCCAAGAGCTGCCATACAAACTGGTGAAGTCGAAGATAGCGATGTTCATGTTTTTTGTTTTATTGTAATTTGTATGCAGTGTCTACTCATATATTATATCAGTTTAGTGTTTGCTTTAGCTTATTAACAACGAAGTTAGCTTATTAACTTAATATTTCGAGAGAACTTGCATAAAAAATGCAGTCGTAGAAATTTCCCCAGAAAACGTGGTATTATGTCAATGGAAATGAATAGATAAATTAGATAAATAAATAAATAAAATTTTACTTAATGTTGTTTAAAAAATGTCTTTAAACTTGACTCTTCTTAGTTTATTTATTATAGTTTAAATAGAAGATACTTTAATGTCAAAGATAATAAACTTTGCCCCATATTCCATACGACGTTTAGTCGTCAATTAAGAAAAATCGTAAAAATGAAAAACCGAAAAATCGCGCGGCAAAGTTTTCGCTTTTTGCCCAAGCGCTCATATATCTGATATATGATACGATGATAGTGATTGTGGTCACTATCTAAGTGCTTTAATAGTTTGATGAGCGTTACACCTCTTCACTTCTGTGAAAAAACCTGATTTGAAACTGAGGCAAGAGTGTACCTGAGGAATGTTTTAAAAAGTGTGGTAAAGGAGTTAAGCAATAATCTCTTGGATGGGTAGCATTGAGTCCTCCAGCAAGATTCTGCTACAGCCAAACAGCACAAAACAATATTAATGGTTTCATAGCTGCATCCATCAGGAAGTCTATTGGATTTTAATTTGTGGTCAAAGTTGAAAAACACAGTGTCGTCAATACCGATAGCAACTGTGGGTTTAATGCACCAAACCTTCACAGTAGTCAAGTTCCCTCACACATACATATACTTGTATGAGGATCTGCTTTAACTTTGCGATCATAGAATCAACAATAATTGTATTACTGACCGAAACTTCAGTAACATCAGGATGGGTTCGGGATATGAGGTGAGTTTAAAATTTTGAAAATTTTGGTAGATGTTTTTTTATATCCAAAGAACACTTACCCAGCAACAGTAGCGTAACCGGCTAAAGCCGGCTGTGCAGCGGCGGCTGCAGCGCCATATGCTGCCCTAGCGGCCACCGCTGTGTATGTGGTGGCGGCTGTTGCGTACGCCTGCTGTGCTTGTGACAGTGGAGTCTTTAGAAGCGGAGCTGTGGCCTGCAATGGTCAGATGCAAATAAAAATTAAAATATCTCACGTAAAAAAACCCCGTTCAAAAAGATGGAGAATAATGTATGAAGGTGACAAGGTATTAACACGATTCTAATGAACAATGAAATTGTAAGTAATTGGGCATTATTGAAATAACTGTTAATTAAATTGAATTGTTGGAATGGTAACTACTGGCATATGTATATATGTTTCTTGTTGATTAAAATATACAATATTAGGATGGATGAATGGGGATTACATTAGTAGATAAGTGGTATTATCCAAACTTGAAATTATAAAAAATACTTAAGGATCTGTCTACAGACTGGCATGCCTAACTTGTAAATATTAAATAAAAAAGTTTTAAACCAGTGTGAATTTGTTTCGTACAGCAACATCCGGAAAATCAAGCCAAGCCAACCAATAACCAATATAAAAGTATGTTTACAATAATAAATACATTAACAGTTAAGAAAAGTAACGAATTGGAGTGAAAAACGTAAGTATGAGTTACGAATTAAATTGGCATGCCTTGGAATTAATACCTATGTAAAAAAATTTGCAATAATACACACATATATAATTAGATATTAAAGTTTTCGCAATGAACTTAGTATACAACAATAAAGGAGATATATAAACAAGAGACAACTTGTCGTTGTTTGAACAAATTTTGCTTATTTTGTTTACCAAAACGTTTTGTGGTACCGGAATGCGGTTGATCGTATGTGGGGAACTGTTTAGCGTTGTCACAGTGCGGCGCTGTAAGTTTTCAAGTAGATTATATGATAGAAATTGTTTTTGTTGTATTTAAATAACTCAGTATTACAGTATGTATTACATACATAAATACATATGTATATTTATATCACAACAAACAGAACATACATATATAAAAAGTACTATACATATATGTACATATGTATGTATAAACGAATACGTTAACTTAAAGTGATTATATATATGTACATAGGAAATAAGGAAATACTTGCAATAAACTGATTAGAAATGTAGATAAAAGGAGTTATAATTGTAAGAAGTTTAACATCACTGCAAACAAATTATATAAATTAATCTTACAAGGCAAAATTGAACTTTGCATCATAATATATTATCTATATTCAGATTTTCATTTTCCAGAAAAGTGTAATTCGTACGTACAAATAAGATTTACAAAACGTTTTTAAATATCACCTATCCAAAACTAGCTGGTACATTGAAATTTCAATCTCAGAAGATAAATTTTAACGCCGCCTTAAATAAATATGGAAACGGTCTTTAATTCTTTTTTCGTTAAGTTCTCAATTTTTGATAATCGTTCCGATTTTGAGGATGTGGAAATCGAAAAGCAATGACTTAGCTCGTACTGAAAATGAAATAAAAGTGTAATGGAATAACAAGAGCGTAACATAAATAAGCAAGGCAGTTTTCAGTATTTCCCGAACCCTTTTCCAATCTATAAAAAAATACTTTAATTATAACTTTGTAATTTTTGAAGATAATACAACGGGGTTTTCAATAGGGACACTAGCAGAGTAGACCGATAGGGACGGCAAACGACGCCATATTTTTCCACGCTCTTCTGACATATCTTTTCAATAAGGTTTGCCATTTCATCATGGAAAGATATACGATCTAACAACGAGTCGAAATTATTAAAATTTACTACCGAAAGTCGAAGTTAATGGCCTCAACTTTAAGAGCGCTAGGTCCAATTTAAGGAAGTCATAATTAATGGTGTCATAATCCTGTCAGATCAACAATTGAGCGTCTAGTACCCGTAGTGTCTAGAATATTGCTGCCGCTAGCGCATCAATTTAGGAAGATCCAAATCAGTCCCTCACACGTCGTTCCCAAGAACTGAAGTCGCTTGACCATCAGAATCGAACGTGATATTGTAGCAGCAACGGTCGATTTATGCTTGAACACCGTTGAAAATTGGGTTTAGCGTCTGGACTTCTTCAAGCGTGGCCGTGGTGGCCATGCAAAAGAAATCGACTATCACACATAATGGCCTCTAATGTACTTCTTACAGAAATAAATAATTTCATGGAAACTTAAACAGTTTTTGTTTTATTTAAAACTTTTTGAAGATAATACTCTTTTTGAAAAACCCGATATGAAAAATTGTAACAGAAAGATGTCAAATCATCAATTCTGGGCGGCGGTAAACTCTTTTATAAGTGCTACAATTCCTCTCTATGTGCTCTATAAATGAAAATTTGGTTGAATAAGCTCCTGTTATAAAAAAACATAAGTGTACTATTTCCAATTCCTTGAAACTACTGTACATTGTTATAACTAATGCTTTCAACACAAATACATGAAATAATGAAAACGTGTAATTATTTAAATGATATTTGCAGGGAATACAGGGAAAGAATTTAAACTTTTAGAAACCTTAAGAGACTTTTGGCGTTTTCTTTTCTCGTCGAAAATGTTGTCTTTCTATATGGCAAACTTATATAAATTCTGAATAATACCGTTTAAAAGTGTTTCATTTTGTACATGACGAAAGAACGAAAAAATTGTTATCCTGCGATGCATCATTACTTCGAAACAGAAAAAATAAAAAGGCGCACTGAGATTTTGCAATACATTTAAAAATAAATAAAAATATCCAATGGAAAACCAAGCCAATCAAATGGAGGAGCAAGAAAGCCCTTGCATCAAAAGAATACAATGTAAGTATAACATGTAAGGAAAGGATAAATTCGGGTGCAACCGAACATTTTATACTCTTACAACTTGAAAGAATTATAGCCAAGGAAATACCTTAAGATGTAGAACGTCAACCATAGGATCGGAATCTAAGAAGTATTATACATACATATAATATATGTATAACTCATACACTGGCCGACTATCCAGGATAATGTCACCTGGAAGTTCGAAAATCTTTGTGTTATATTGTCAGAGAAGGATAATCCCTGAATTTAAATTGTATATCTCACACATTGAGTTATATTTTCGATCAAAAATCAACTATAGATACAGAGGTCTACATATTCGGTACCTAGGGTTTGAACAGTTTTGGTTGAATTTGGACAATTTTTGGCCAAAAAGTTCCCTACTTTAAGGGAATTATTACTGCACAATTGTATTCCGTTATATTAATTACTTCTTAATTTGTGTACTGAAAAGTGAAAGAATCAAATGGAATTTTACACTTCAACTCTAGAGATATGGGATTTCACCAAAAAGTGGGCGGTGCCACGCCCATTGTCCAATTTTCACACCAGCTCCCATAAAGCCTTCTCATACCATCTCGAAGGTAAAATTTAATGTATCTGGCATAATTATTTATGGATTTATTGCACTTTTTGTAGTTTTTAACAGTACCGTTATATGGTGAGCGAGGTTATCTACTGATTTCATCCATTTTCACACTGTCGGTAAGAGTGTGCGAGGGCTACAAGACTCTGCTTAAGAGAAAAAAGGTAGCTGTCGGTAACAACCACAATTCTGGCGCTAAGAGGCAGAGAGCGGAATTTCAATGACTGACTGTAAAGATAACTTCACCATCAAGCTCAAACCAAATAAGGCGAATAAAATCAGTACAGGAGATGTTTATAGAATTAATGATAAGAATATAGAGTATTATATTTTATTATTATATTATATACGTTTTTCTTTCATATAAATATTTTTAAATGTTAAGTAATGTCAGAATGTCCTTAGTTTATTAAAATGTTTTACTGAATTTTTTTATTAGGCACTAATAACTTTTATATATAACATAAATGAGTAAAAATGAGTAAAATGAGTAAAACTAAAGTTAATTATAGTTTCTTTGAGTACATAGCTGGTTTATAACTTCGTTGCCTCTTTCTATCGAAATAATTTCAACTTCATAACATAATACTCCACACATACATATACTTTTGAAAACATGTTGAGAAAAGAGCACGGAACTTTGACAGGCCGAGCATAGGACAGTATAAATGCAACATTTTTGTGAGAAAAGAAAACGCTATTAATAACAGTGGACGTCAAAACAAGTAGAATAAAAACCTCATGTGCTTGTAATAAAATTTAGTTTTATTTTCATCATCAACTAAGCCCACCCATTTCTGTAAAGTTTTTAAAATAATGTCATAAATATATATCGTCATCTAAAATGCCAAATAACGTATAAACAAAAAAATTTTGTTTTTATTGATTACTATTCACTACAGTAAAATGCATATGTGTATGTAAATACAAAGTCTCTGCTATCAGATAAAACTAAGTTATTCAAGTTTAGTTTCAATAGGGTTAGAGTAAATTTTATATCGTTTTTTTCTTCTGTAAACTTATGAGAAGTGATTCGCTACTTTACATTTTAGGTGATGATGGTTTACGCCCAATCACGCTTTGCATACATATTACTTGACCATCAGATTGGTATTGAAAATAAGTGGGCCGGAACACCGAGATATGATAAATTTAAACAGTATACAGTTATGTGAAAAATAATAAGGACAGGGAAAACAAAACAAGAATAAAATTGTAGTAATTCATGAAAATTTCCGCCAGTTAACGGCATTTTTTTTATGACTCCTAATTTATAAAAACAGTCCGTTGTCCGTTAGACAAATGCAAAGTATAGCACACATTGCTATTTAAGTATAGTTTTACTGAAACGTGATTTTTTTTTTTTTTTTTTTTTTTTTTTTTTTTTTTTTTTTTTTTTTTTTTTTTTTTTTTTTTTTTTTTTTTTTTTTTTTTTTTTTTTGGCAGAGATAAGGCAAGAATAATGTTTTTGGTTTTAATATCAATAAATTTAAACCTGGTATTTCTTTTTAATGTATCGATATGGGAAAGCATAAGCACTACGATTCGAAAACACGAGGACATATTAAATATTTAGGGAAACAAAGATATTCGTACAGAAAAGTTGCATATTTACTTAATGCTTCCAAAAACAGAGTTGTTTGTCAAGAAAATATAGTTTGCTATGTTAAGGAAAAACGAAGCAAGAGAAAAGGCCCCATGTTGTCAAAAAAAAACGTGCAACAAAAGCTTAAACTTGCCGAAGGACATTTTCTTTGGCCTAGTCAAAAGCTGTCTCTTATACACATCTAGATGTGTATAAGAGACAGGTACGAGAATTTATGCTATTGTACGGTGAAGACAATACATTCTGTCAAGAAAGTATCCGGAATTTATAAATAAAACGAAAATTTTTCAATCATCATCCAAATTTATTTTATAGCTTTCAAAGTAACATCAATTTGAAGCTTTCACATGTGCCAACGCTTCTCCTAATCGTCAAAACATTTTGTTAGGTATATAGGCACTTTCCGGGATGRCCTTCAACTCCCGCGTCCAATTTGTTTTGATATCTTCAATTGAGTCGAAGCGTGTTCCCCGAAGTGGATATTTCAGTGTGAAGAAAGGTAAAAGTCACATGGAGCTAAATCGGGGAGATTCGGTACTTGTTCAGTAATATTTGTTGAGTGCTTGGCCAAAATTTAACACAAATACGTTAAAAAATTTTGTAAAATTCGACAAACACTACTGAGGTCGACTGACATAAACAGCTGCTGTAAACACACTGGTTGACAGATTGCGCTAATTTTTAGCATCTTCACACATCTTCCATGGTTTTGTTAAACGTTGGTCTAAAGAATTTAGAGATCCGCTTACCMCAAAAATTCTTTTTACATCTTTGGTGAGGCCTATATTAGAGTAGGCTTCCGTGGTATGGAACCCTTGTTATCAAGTTCATTCTGAGAAACTAGAGTCCGTTCAAAAACAATTTTTACTTTTTGCCTTAAATCATTTGCATTGGGATTCCAATTTCAATCTTCCCCCTTACACTAACCGTTTAAAGCTTATAGATCTCCCTAYACTCGCTAGTCGTAGGGAAATGCTTGGTATAATATTTCTTGTAAAACTCATCAATGGGTCAGTCTGTAGCCCATCTYTMTTGTCTGATATTAATTTTAACATTCCCGCTCGCTCCACCAGGCAGTTTAGACCTTTACTTTTAAAATTAAAATTGTTAAACGAACCATTTCGCCGTATATGTCACGATTTCAATTCTCATTCCAGCACATTTGATCTAACAGATTCACTCTTTACCATTAAAAAAATTATTTTATCTACTCTTAACAAATAACATTTAAAAATTATAAACTTTAATCAAATTCTTAGCTTTGGCTGTTGAAATTTTTGTTTCTGTAGCTGAGCAGCTTAAGATCGCAACGCTTAAAACTCTCTTGCCTTTTATGACTCGGCTAATTCCGCTCGTTGGCGTATTGCGCCCCTCGCGTCGGTTGGTCGGGAGGAGGTAATCGTATTATTATTATTATTAAGGACAGTTATACAAGCCGCGATGAAAAATGTATCTGTCTTCCATATAAGCGGGAGATGAGAATGGGAAATGAAGAATTCTAGTTACTTTCTTGACAGAATGTATGCCTCTTAGGTAGATATTTATGCAAAATTTGTGGAACCCAGTGAAAGCGTCGTTAAGACAAAAGTGTTCAAGTAATAATGAAGAGCTTTTTCAACTTATTCAAATTTCATGAAATGCAATTTCAGTTTCCGACTGCCAAAACCTAGTTAATGCTCAATTTAAAATAAGAGGGATTTTTAACAAAATATTAAACTAATAAGAAATTAATATAATCACTTCTGAATGAAAACTAGTTACTTTTTTTTACATAATGTTGTATTTTTTTAAATAAGTGTCCTTATTTTTTTCACATGCTAATATCGGGAACTTGAAAACAAATGCAAATAAAATACGAAAATATGGGTAAAATTGTAAAAAAAACAAATTTTTTTGTTCTCAATAAATTTTATTAGCAATTGATTTCCCCACATTTCTGGATGTACTATATGTACATTAACTTCATTAGCTGCAGGCCACTGTCCTTATTATTTTTCACTCTATATACATTGTATGTGATGGTGATATACCAAAAGTAATATGTATATATTTGTACACAATAAACTCCAATAAGAAAAATTTGGTACCACTTGAAAAGTATGTATGAAATTTGGTATATAACTATCTTAGCGGGCAACTTCTCTTATATTTTTTATTTATGGTTTGATTTATCCAAATCCTTACCCTTTTCTTAGGGGTCATTTTGTTGGTTCTGTGGTTCTTTTCCATAAATATGTTTTTGTCTTTAAACATTAAGACATAAAAGTACCAGTTATTTGGATGATTTATTTTTTGGTAGTAGTTAGATTTGTACATATGTTATGTATGTAAATGAAATTAAAACGATTATTTGAATCGCTTTGAAACTTGTATGTACACATCTTATGTAATTTGTATAAGTAAATGTCTTCATATTCCGTTAGTAACACATAAATAATAATTAGACGTTTGAATACAGTGAAATACTAAAATGCAAATACTAAAGGATTATCGTTAGTAAATTAAAAAAAAAAAACCAAGTTTCGAAAAAATGCAAACTTAATTCGTTAAAAGTATAGGATAGTCCCAAAAGTGGGGAAAATAAACAACGAGAGCAGTGAATGAGTAAAAATCGAGAAATCTAAAATTACATTTAATATGGCTGCTGGCTGTGCGGCTGGAACTTCTGCGACCGGTTTGGCTGCCTGTAAAATTCGTAGTACGATTTCAAGTTGTTACACAAATATTAACAAATTTTGGATATCGAATTAATTTTATAACTACTCTTAAAAAATAACTATTTTATTACCTATTAACTAATCGATTTTTTTTAATAGCATAGTTTTGTAGAATTTTAAATTTACCTGGAATCGCAGATTCGGATCAGCGGAAGCTGCAGCAGCTGCTAGGAAGGGATCGTAGTAGACGCTGTATGAAAAATATAAAAATTATTAAGTCAAAATCAAAAAGTCATATGTCATTGCTTGTAAAATTTTACTGGAATAGGTACTTAAAAGCAAAATTCAGATATTCTTGTTCAAACTGATTGTAGGTTTCTCAATTTCGATCTTCAATGTTATGCGGTGGAGTAACCTTCATGTTTTATTATGTCAAATCAAAGGTTCATACTAAAGCTATTTTTAGAGCCCTCTTTCAAAAACTTTTTCTTTTCTATAATTCTTTCCGAAAATAGTTTTTATTGATACGTATTTCAATAAAACTATGTCAATCTGTGGTATGTAAAATTCTCTGCCCTAATCGCTACACCTGCTCCGCTCTTTCTGAAATAACTAAATTGTAATGCCTTGTTTTTAACTTGGTATGAGTGCGTAGTAGAGGGTTTCCAGGAATATGACTAAACAGAAAATATATTTTTTTTTAAATGCGACACATTTCATACTTGCAAATTTATTAGAATGTCATGCACTTTGTTCCATACGTTTACTGAAAGTTGTATATCAATACTACAGTTATTAATTCATTGTCCTTGTTAAGTAGAACGTCAAGTCATGCAGTCTTCAATAGTTTGAGAATATCAAATATTAAATAATTTGTGTATTTAAAATAATATATATTTTAATATTAAAACATTTATGAAATTAGTAATGCGGGGTTTTCACATTGCAAAGCTGCCTACTCTAAAAGTTCTAATCATTTTAAGATATAAACATTTCTAATTACTGCACACTTCCGCCCTTAGAATTCACTAATGTGTAATATGATAACTATATTCGTTAATATACATTAGTGCATACAATACTAAGAGAACATACATACAAAAATATGCCTAATTCTTATATAAAGCGCATGCAATTGTATATTATTTACCGTATATACTCGTACATATACTCTCCAAATCACACATAGCATTTACAGTTTAATACTTTGATACGGTGAATGTAGTCTTTTCACATGTATTTTGCATAACTTTAGAGATAAAAGCAATTTTCATAACTACATTAAACTATATGCATATTGTAACTAACTGAGCCATTAAGAAGTTAATAGCTGCGACTATACTACTCATACAACAAAGTGAAGTTTGTACGATATTAAGCAAAGAATTATTGATATGAATCGATCAATTCGTCAAATGAGGGCATTTCCATAAATTTACTTGAATGCGTAATGCAACAATACATAAGTGAGAACAGTATTGTTAATACTTACGGTGTGAATCCGTGTAAAGCGGTACCAGCCGCATTGACTGCAGCTGCTGCATTTGCCGCGGCGGCTATGGATGCAGCAGCTGCAGCGGATGGCGATTGAGTGGCTGCACCTGTAGCACCCAAACGTGCAGCATAAGCAGCAGCAGCGGCGTTGGCTACCTGGGGCGTGTTGGCTGCAGCGGCCGCTGAATGAGCTATTGAATGCAGTTGTTGTTGAGCAGCGCTGGTCTGAATCGCAGCAACCGCGTGAGCTTGGTTGGTCCCGCCTGCTGATTGCACTTGCAATGCCTGTTGCAATCCTAATTGGTGGTGTGCGGTTTGTTGCGCATGATGTGGATGATGGTGTGCCTGATGATGATGGTGGTGATGTTGTTGCTGCTGTGCGGCTACAGCAACAGCGGCCAAAGCGGGGTTGAATGGCCCACCCACAACTCCCATATGACCGCGATGGATTGCTACGCCTCGCATGGCGGCAGCGGCTGCTACGGTGGCTATTGGATTGATGAAGCAGGCAGCGATTGATTGAGTTCGATAATGTGAATTACAGTCCGCATCGTATTTTTTGAGTTTAGTTTGTTGATAAATATCCCATATTCGAGGTGAAGAGCAAATAACAATTGAATACAACGATCAAACATTTTGTTAATAATAGTTTTTAACGTTCAAATTATATATTTCGGTGAGTTGGTTATAAAAGCAAGATTATTGAGAATGTCGATTGGATAATTCGCAACACATAATACAGTTTCATCGTTCGAACAGTAAACATTATTCGAATATATTCGTGGTAGCCATTTTTTTCGATATACATATATTTGTTTGTTTTAAGTGGCGTTTCCAAAAGAAGAAAAATTAAGAGAAAATAACAAAAAAGTCATGCGATTAGTATGATTTATATTTTCATATATGAAGCCATACAAAATATACACAATGAAAACTATAACTTAATATATACTTTTTATATATGTACATACATATACCATACATATTAAAACCTCTATTATATATTGATATTAGCGTGAGTGCGGTATCTGACTACTGGCTACTGTACCTCGGATACTGTTTCCCATTAACATTTTTCTATTAACATTTACTTTATCTGGTTTCTTGGTTTTTTTCGTAGTTGTTGTTTTTACCCTTGAACAGGGTATATTAAGTTTGTCACAAAGCTTTTAACACCCAGAAGGAAGCGTAGGAGACCCTATGAAGTATATATATAAATGATCAGTATGTTGAGCTGAGTCGATTTAGACATGTCCGTCTGTCTGTCTGTTCGTCTGTATATATACGAACGAGTCCCTCAGTTCTTAAGATATCGTTTTGAAATTTTGCAAACATCACTTTCTCTTCAAGAAGCTGCTCATTTGTTGGAACTGCCGATATCGACCCACTATAACATATAGCTGCCATAGAAACTGAACGATCGGAATCAAGTTCTTGTATGGAAAGCTTCCACATTTGACAATGTATCTTCACAAAAGTTGGCACAGGTTATTTTCTAGGAAAAAAATGTAATCTCCGAAGAAATTGTTCAGATCGGCTTACTACAGCATAGCTGCCATACAAACTGAACAATCGGAAACAAGTTCTTGTATGGAAAGTTTTTCCTCTTCTTGATTGGGCATTTCTTCTTTTCACTACGTGACGCCAATTAGATATTCCAAGTGAAGCCAGGTCCTCGGACAACATGACATAGCCAGCGTAGCCGCTGTCTTTTAATTCTATGAAATATGTCGTCATATATCTCGTACAGCTCATCGTTCCATCGAATGCGATATTCGCCGCGGCCAACGCGGAAAGGACCATAAATCTTTCGCAGAACTTTCTCTCGAAAACTCGCAACGTTGACTCATCCGTTGTTGACATCGTCCTAGCCTCTGCACCATATAGCAGGATGGGAATTATGAGTGACTTATAAAGTTTGGTTTTTGTTTGTCGAGAGAGGACTTTGCTTCTCAATTGCTTACTCAGTCCGAAGTAGCACCTGTTGGCAAGAGTAATGCTGCGTTGGATTTCTAGGCTGACATTGTTGGTGGTGTTTACGCTGGTTCCCAGATAGACGAAATTGTCTACGACTTCAAAGTTATGACTGTCAACAGTGACGTGAGAGCCTAGTCGCGAGTGCGACGACTGTTTGTTTGATTACAGGAGATATTTCGTCTTGCCCTCGTTCACTGCCAGACCCATTTGTGTTGCTTCCTTGTCCAGTCTGGAGAAAGCAGAATTAACGGCGTCGGTGTTGAGGCCGATGGTATCAACGTCATCGGCATACGCCAGCAGCTGTAACTCTTTAAGAAGATGGTACCTTCTCTATTTAGTTCTGCAGCTCGAACTATTTTCTCCAGAAGCAGGTTGAAAAAGTCGCACGATAAGGAATCGCCTTGTCAGAAACCTCGTTTGGTATCGAAGGGCTCGGAGAGGTCCTTCCCGATTCTGACGAAGCTTTTGGTGCTGCTCAACGTCAGCTTACACAGCCGTATAAGTTTTGCAGGGATACCAAATTCAGACATCGCGGCATAAAGGCAGCTACTTTTCGTACTGTCGAAAGAAGCTTTGAAATCGACGAAGAGGTGGTGAGTGTCGATCCTCCTTTCACGGGTCTTTTCGAAGATTTGGCACATGGTGAATATCTGGTCGGTTGTTGATTTTCCAGGTCTGAAGCCACTCTGATAAGGTCCAATCAGTTTGCTGACGATGGGCTTTAATCTTTCACACAATACGCTCGATAGCATCTTATATGCAATGTTGAGGAGGCTAGTTGGCGCAGATTGTGGGGTCTCCTTTTTTGAAGATGCGGCATAGCACACTTAAATTTCAATCGTTGGGCATGCTTTCGTCCGACCATATTTTACAACGAACATCCTTATCAGTTCCTCGCCGCCGTGTTTGAATAGCTCGGCCGGCAATCCATCGGCCCCCGATACTTTGTTGTTCTTCAGACGGGTAATTGCTATTCGAACTTCTTCCTGGTCGGGAAATGGAACGTCTGCTCCATCGTCATCGATTGGGGAATCGGGTTCGCCTTCTCCTGGCGTTGTGCGTTCACTGCCATTCAGCAGGCTGGAGAAGTATTCCCTTCATAATTTAGGTATGCTCTTTCGGTTTCGGTTGCAGCTGTACGTAAGATTTTGAAATGCCGTCCCACAGTTCCCTTATACCGAGTTGTTGACGAGTGCTCTCAGAGAGCAAGAGTGCAAGCCGAGTAGAAAATCGTTCGGCTCTCTGTTGTGATTGYAGCTTCTCGACGTCKAACCTTCCTTGTGTTTGATGGCGTGCGTTTTTTGCTGCACAGAGGCGCGTGCAAATCTTGGCWGCAACAAGATAGTGGTCCGAGTCGAGGTTAGGACCTCGGGCGCACGCACATCTAAAACACTGGAGACGTGTCTTCCGTCTATCACAACATGATCGATCTGGTTGGTGGTTTTTCGATCCGGAGACAGCAAGGTAGCTTGATGTATCTTCTTATGCTGGAATCTAGTACTACAGATAACCATATTTCGGGCCCGGCAAAGTCGATCAGCCTCAACCCATTTGGGGATGTTTCCTCGTGGAGGCTTAATTTACCGACCGTAGTGCCAAAGATACCTTCTTTGCCCACCCTGGCGTTAAAGTCGCCAAGCACGATTTTGACATCGTGCGGAGGCAGCTCTCGTAAGTCCTTCTCTTCGGTACAAATTGTTTATATCGGTTAACTATATCATATAGCTCTTGTATGGAAAAATTTTGCATTTGACGTGGTATCTTTATGAAATTTGCCATGGATTACTATAATCTCCAAAAAAAAAGTTGTTCAGATCGAATTAATATAGCATATAAATTAGTTTCGGTGCAGCCGAGGTTAACGCTTTTTCTTGATTTCAATATAATATATATTAATGTATTAGTGAGATTAAATTAATCATTTCAACTTTAATTCGTGCACACATTTGCACGCAACACAAAATACGTTTATGCTAGCCCTGATATTATGATTCCATCAGCTTTAAGCCAAATAAATTATTGTTTCTATAGAATTATATAGGTGCATATGTTCCAATTATTATCATATACTCAAATTCTTTGTAAGCTTAATTTGTAGTTTCCTAACATGAGATTTAGTCAACTTTTTTAAGTGTCGTTATGGATCAAGGTGAAAAAAATAATTCTTATATTAATCGTATCAATTTATTAATTATATACAGTTATGTGAAAAATAATAAGGACAGGGATGCATAAAAACAAAAGAATAATAAAATTGTAGTAAGTCATGAAAATTTCCACCAGTTAACGGCATTTTTTTATCACTCCTTATTTATAAAAACAGATTATGTTTGACAAATGCGAAGTATTTGCACACATTTCGTAAAAAACCATTTTGTTCTTAACAATGTCCGCAAGCAGTTGTGCGATTTAATAAGAATATCGCGCTATTTAAAATCAGTAGCGAAAATAGTTTTATTGAAACGGGTTTTTTTCCAGAGATATGGCAAGAATAATATTTCTGGTTTTAGTATCAATAAATTTAAACCTGGTATTTCTTTTTAWTGTATCGATATGGGAAAGCATAAGCACTACGATTCGAAAACTCGAGGACATATTAAATATTTAGTGAAACAAAGATATTCGTACAGAAAAGTTGCGTATTTACTTAATGCTTCCAAAAACAGAGTTGTTTGT